CATTTGCTTCCCTATCAATTTCAGCGACACCCGAGTTATTATTCGAGGTTGACACGCTTAAATAAAACATTTTTTATAGATGTTTAATCAATATTTCCTAGCATATGTATATATTTTTAGAAATATTGACACCTTTGGAAGGACACGAAATTATAACCAAAGTTCTTTTCTGAACCAAAAAATTATTAAAAATCATTAAAGTGTCCACCAACTGAATTCCTCAAATGAAGTATTTAATATAAATTAGAATGCATTATTTTATTTTAATTAGAAAGCAAAGGAGAACATTGCCTATAGCGGAAATAGACAAATGTGTACCTAAAATAAAATTTTAACCGAAGAATTATAATAATTCACTATAATGTCTCTTTTTTAATGTTTACTTTAGGAGATAAGAAAGTAGGCAAAGGCTGAAATTCTGTTCAGAATTTGTTTTCCTCCGTTTTTCAGTAGTTTCGGTGAAAAACAGCTTAAAAATATTTTTAATCTTGATGTGTTTAATAGTTAAAGGTTAACTATTGAACACACATTTTAAACAAAGTGTTATTCTTAGCCTCAAGCAATTTTTAATTACCAAGGAAGCAAATAGAATATGAAAGAATAAGTTTATTAACAATTATATGATGAGATAACTAATACTTACATTATTGTATTTTTACTATATCACCCTGTAGGATGATAAAATAAAAACTTACAAAACAGATTAACTTAATGAAAATTTAACTCTAGTACACAACGACTTGATTCTTCTACATGGATCTTTATTTAAATGAGAATTTATCCGCTATAGCGTTCTCTATTCAATGCTTCTTCAGGAATGAGAAGTGGTACGATTTAGGAGAGGCGCAATTTAGGCAACTCTTCTCTATATTATATGGCCTCTATATTATGGCCCTATAATAAAGCCAGTTTAACTTACGACTCTATGTAATTGCCTTTATAGAGTCCTGGCCAATTTATTAGACTCACTGTAAAAGTTTTATGTAAATATCTTAATTGTCAGGTGATACTATACTGCTTTAATGCTTTTATGTGACTGAAACCGGTTTGTACTTGTTTACCTTAAATCATTAAAGTGTCCACCAAATGACCTTCTTAAATGCAGTATTTAATATTAATTAGAAAGCAAGTGAGAACATTGCCTATAACGGAAACTCTGATCCATAACGGACGATAGTGATTCTTAAAAGTAGGCCAAAGAGAATATTCTCAACCCTAATCATGTCATTTTTGCATTACTATTGATTTGAGTGACCCCCGAGTTATTAATCTAGGTAGACACAGACAAATGAAACATTTTTTAAAGATGTTTATTCAATATTTCTTAGCATATGTATATATTTTCATAGATTTTGACACCTATGGAAGGATATGAAATTATATCCAAAATTCTTTTCTAAAAAAATCTGTGAAAAATCTTTAAAGTGTCTGCCAAATGACCCCCTCATATGCAGTATTTATTATTAATTAGAAAGCGAGTGAGAACATTGCTTATAACGGAAATAAATGATAGTGAACCTCAAAAGTAGGCCAAAGAGAATTGTCTCAACGCTACTCATATCATATTTGCATCACTATCGATTCTGCCGACAACTGTGCCAATAACCTAGGTTGACACGGACAAATAAAAGCATTTTTTAAAGTTGTTTAATCAATATTTCTTTGCATATGTATATATTTTTATAAATTTTGACACCTATGGAAGGATAGGAAATTATAATCAAAGTTCTTTTCTGAACCAAAGAATTATAAAAAATTATTAAAGTTTCCTCCAAATGAGCCCCGCAAATGCGGTATTTAATATTAATTAGAATGCATTATTTTATTTTAATTAGAAAGCAAAGGAGAACATTGCCTATAACGGAAATAGACAATTGTGAACCTAAAATAAAATTATAACCGAAGAATTAAAATAATTCACTAAAGTGTCTCTTTTTTAATGTTTACTTTAGGAGATAAGAAATTAGGCAAAGGCTGAAATTCAGTTCAGAATTTGTTTTACTCCATTTTTCAGTAGTTTCGGTGAAAAACAGCTTAAAAATATCTATAAACTTTANAAAGATGTTTATTCAATATTTCTTAGCATATGTATATATTTTCATAGATTTTGACACCTATGGAAGGATATGAAATTATATCCAAAATTCTTTTCTAAACCAAAAAATTGTGAAAAATCTTTAAAGTGTCTGCCAAATGACCCCCTCATATGCAGTATTTATTATTAATTAGAAAGCAAGTGAGAACATTGCTTATAACGGAAATAAATGATAGTGAACCTCAAAAGTAGGCCAAAGAGAATTTTCTCAACGCGACTCATATCATATTTGCATCACTATCGATTCTGCCGACAACTGTGCCAATAACCTAGGTTGACACGGACAAATAAAAACATTTTTTAAAGATGTTTAATTAATATTTCTTTGCATATGTATATATTTTTATAAATTTTGGCACCTATGGAAGGATAGGAAATTATAATCAAAGTTCTTTTCTGAACCAAAGAATTATAAAAAATTATTAAAGTTTCCTCCAAATGAGCCACGCAAATGCGGTATTTAATATTAATTAGAATGCATTATTTTATTTTAATTAGAAAGCAAAGGAGAACATTGCCTATAACGGAAATAGACAATTGTGTACCTAAAATAAAATTATAACCGAAGAATTAAAATAATTCACTAAAGTGTCTCTTTTTTAATGTTTACTTTAGGAGATAAGAAATTAGGCAAAGGCTGAAATTCAATTCAGGATTTGTTTTACTCCATTTTTCAGTAGTTTCGGTGAAAAACAGCTTAAAAATATCTATAAACTCTATGTGTTCAATAGTTGAAGGTTACTCTTAAATAATAGTGGTACTATGTAGGATTGCAATATCTAATACATAATTACGGCAGATACGTGACATTTTAAACAAAGTGTTATTCCTAGCCTCAAAAAATTGTTAATTACCAAGGAAACAAATAGAATATGAAAGAATAAGTTTATTAACAATTATATGATGAGATAACTAATACGTACATTATTGTATTTCTACTATATCACCCTGTAAGATGATAAAATAAAAACTTACAAAACAGATTAACAAAACAGATTTGAGTCATCATTCCTTCTGAAAATGTGAGCTGCCCAGTTCATTCGATTCATTTTTGTGAATTTCTCAATATCTGGCTCTCTGTAGATATCGTAGTTTAATATCTCGCTCATATAATTTGATTTCAAACTCTCATTATCTTTCCTTCATTTCGATGCTATTATTTATTCGCTAAATGAAGAGATTCATTTTAAATCTCTGCGCTTCGAATTCGTAAACATGCACGTTACTTAAAATTTAATTTAATTTCAAGTTGAATATGATAATTTGAACTTTTTCGTACCAGATGTAAGATTAAAGAGTAAATTTATTTGTTAATTCTTTTCGAATTTAAATTCCATGCCTTTCGATTTTAATTTTTTATTCTGGGCTTGCAAAGTTTTTAATTTTATTTTCTTTCACGTTGCTTTTAAAAACTGTTGTTATGGTTGTTTCGAATGCCACTTGAAGTATCAGCAACCCTGATTGGTGAAACCAAGTGACTCTCCTTGTTTTGTAGTGGAGCCATCCATGACCAAGAATACAGCCACACACAACACGTTTATAGGACGGAACCATACATACATTCATTCACGTCATTTTGACCTGAACCAGAGAACGATCCAATTCAGTACCCCCAGAGGTTTTGATTTGTTATGGGAAGGTGGATGACTTTGTGACTCGACAGATTTAGCGTGCACCAGTCGCCATTTACTACACGGGGAGTCTTCGACCCGCAAGGATCAAATCCATGACCTCTTGGACATGACCCTATGAACCAGGCTAACCCGGCCTTTTAAAAATTTAAACTTTATTATAGCCCCCCAAAAAGTAAAAGAATAAATAAATGGACAAGAAATCAAAATAAGGCCTTTTTTAGGTGAACTTCAAGTTTTAGTTCCTAAATGCTTGCATATAATATTTTTGTTTTAAATTTCTTAACATAAAATTGCTCAAGCTGTTGATTAGTGATAGCGAGCTGGATAACATTCACTATACTTTAATTAAGAGAAAATTAGTTAATGATATAATATACGTCAAAACTGATTATTTCCTTAAAAAAATTTAAATTTTTTATTTTTTGTAATTCATATGCAATAGAAATATAATCTTTTGCAGCTACGGAGTCTTACTTTCGAACATAAACTTTACTTAAAATTCAACTTTGTTTAGGAGCAGATTAATTGTAATGTCACGCATATTTATGAACCCATATCTATAGATTGAAGACTGGTAGCTGGCAGGACTTCGTGCTCTCTAATTTATAAAAGAATAAATCCAGGTTTTAAATTCAGTATTTTAGAGTAAATTTCTTCAAATCGCATTTTTTTTTTGGAGGCTACAATATTGGAGATAAAATAAATTACATATCATATTGATAGTTTCATTATTTATTCATTATAAAATTATATTTTCTTCAGTTTACACAAAATGTAAAATCCATTTTTATGATATCAGTAGAAATACGTCAAAATACACTTCAAGATCTCGATGCTAACATTCCTACGGAAAGTCCATATAAAATTATCAACCCACTTGAATATGTAGACATCGAAAACAACTTGACTGTAGGGAACCTAAGGAAAAAAGAGAGTATCGAGGCAGAGCTGAGGGCGTTGCAAATGATCTGCGAAAAATATCCAGAAAGCGACTGGCTACATGTATATACCGACGGATCTCAGATACAAGATAGATCTGGAGCTGGTGTTTTTCCCAAAGCGCCCCCGTGGGTCATTATATGACCAATTTCGATGCAGAGATCCAAGCAATTTATCTAGCATTACAGAATCTAAAAACAAGATCTAATGAGTTCTTAAGGGTGGTTCTACTGGTAGACTCCATTTCTGTAATTCAAGCAATCACAGAAAACCAATGTTTTAAAACTAAGCTGTAAAACGAAATTCAGCTCGATGTAAACCTCCTCCGGGAAATGAATAAAACTTTAGTCATACAGTGGATCCCTTCACATATTGGTATCGAAGGCAATGAGAACGCAGATTATCTGGCAAAAAACGGAAAAACTATGCCCCAAGAAATAACAACCGTCACACCTGATACTCTTAAAAAATATGTTATGAAAAAACTCAACGAAATAAATACTTATGATTTAACTATAAAGTCAAAAGGCAAAATATGGGAAAATATTCAAGAAAGATGGAAATTTCTCTGTTACCAACCACGTAAGGAAGCAGTAACCCATTTTCGGCTTAAAACAGGCCACGATTGCTTATCAGAACACTTATATAACATTAAAATTCTTCCCAGCAAAGCATGCCCAATTTGTGACACAGGTGTATTAAACTCTGATCACCTCTTATTGTGTAAGGGATTAGATAGGAACTCCCAGAAAAGTGGGAATGTCACTAAATTGTATTGGGAAGCAAGAAATCTCATGAATTGTCAATAACCTTTCCTTTTCCATGTTAATGTTTAAAATTTTATATTGTTGAAATGTTTATTGATTCAAATGTTTATTGTTCTTTTTTGTTCACTTTACCTAAATTGTTGAATTGTTTCTTTGTTATTTTTCTGCTCCTTTGTGATGCAATGAGATGTCAAATTTTCTGGATTGAATTCCTAATAAAGTCATATGAAACACATTTTTATGATATTAATTTAAATAAAAAGATTTTCAATGAAGTTTAAGAAAATTTTTTCAATGTATGTTAAAGTCATCCGAGGCGGATGTTCCGATAAAGAAGAAGAACTTTTTTAGCATGTTAAGATCGCTAAACGACCATAAGTTGTTCTAAGCAAGTAGGTGGCGAGCAATAGCAAGCAAGAGGCAAAGCCCTTAGTACAAAACACATGCACTAGAAAAAAAAATTCCTTTCAATAAAATGTTTGCTTCTTTCCTTCTTATATAAAATAAAGGTAAAACTTTTAACAAGATTTTCTTGGTTTTCTTGAAGTACTCCAATTTGCAGAAAAAAGTAAGCAAATTTGCAGAAAACTTAAGCGATGAAATATACATTCTGATAAGTGAAATGACAGGTTTTTGAAATGTAAATAACACTCAGTGTGTATATATATTATCACGCATGTATTTTCTTACATAGCTTACTTTTAAATAGGGAGTGACCAAAAACTATTTCAAAAATACAATTTTAAGAAATGAAAAAAAACGAGATTTCAAGCAATTAAACAATCCACACTATGGATCCTGGGACGAAAAAAAGAAATGAAAAGAAGTAAATCTAGGAAAATGCAACTTTTCAAGGGTAAAACCTTATCAAAAACCCTGCATAATCACCCGGGGATGAACAGCTTATTAAACACGTTTAACT